GTGTGGGGGGGTGTGTGTGTGGTGTGTGTGTGTGGGGTGTGTGTGTGTGGGGGGGTGTGTGGTGTGTGTGTGTGTGTGGTGTGTGTGTGTGTGGTGTATGTGTGTGTGGTGTGTGTGGTGTGTGTGTGTGGTGTGTGTGTGTGGGGTGTGTGTGTGGTGTGTGTGTGTGTGGTGTGTGTGTGGTGTGTGTGGTGTGTGTGTGTGTGTGGTGTGTGTGTGTGTGTGTGTGTGTGTGTGTGTGGGGTGTGTGTCCCCCAAGGGAACAGAGCACTGCCGAGTTCAGGCTGATCATTAGCGCGTGGGCTGTCAGCAAAATACATTCACAAGAAGGCTACGTGCTGTTTTGTCTTTTGCAGTGATGTCATGTTGCTCATGTTTTATGTTTTTCAGAGTTCATTAGTTTCTATTTGTTCTCAGTTAATATCCAGCTCAATAGATTGCGTAAGTAGAATACCCTCAAACTGAAAGTCACATACATAAAATATAGTGAAAAATATGTCACCCACTTAACCTATAGTTGAAAATATGTACATATTAATTTTGTGTAGCCAATACTGGATATTGGGTAAGGGCACAGGATCCCACGGCTAGACAGCCTGGGTTCAAGTCCCGATTTAGCCACTTGCTGGCTGTGAAATACTGGACAGCTTTAAGCCTCAGTTTCTTTTTTTTTTTTTTAACTTAACCCCAAATGTGATAGTAAGCCTCAGTTTCTTGATCTGAAAAACAGATGTTACTCAGTGAGAGTCTGTGAAAACTAAAGTACACTGCCTGGCTCAGGAAAGTCCTCAGCTTTAGCCATTATTAGCAATGATCGTTATTGTGCTGGCTACACATGCATTAATGAGGCAAGAAAATGCTCAAGGATAACAATCAAGTGCCCAAATTATCTCATCGGACCGAGAGAGATGCCAATGTGTGTATGCTCGTATTTCAGCTCAAGGCCCTTTATCTAGAAGGTTCTTAAACTCGGAGGCCCAGGCAGTATCAAATTTACTTTGCAGTGGAGCCATCACTTTTGTTGATCGATGAAATTGACATAATGCTCTTTTTTTTTTAGCACCAACCACGTGCCTAGAGCTATCTGTGTCAAGAAGAGCACGCTTCACTTGGCTGGAGTGAGCAATTCAACTTGTGGAAGAATGAGAAATTATAGTGTTGAGACAAGAAGCGTAAAACCCCAGGGGAAGGTAGGAATCACTGACAGGCAAAAGAACTGGTGTCCAGTAATGAGTTAGGCTTTGCCGGCCTCTGGCCCTACAGATGGCTCTTTGGAGAGGAAAAAATTCAGCCAGGCCTAAGGCCACAGATCCTAAGGGACTGCTGGCAGCTCTGGGCTGTCTATGGAGGAGAAGCAGAGGGTGGCACCTGGTTGAAAGAGGGGGCTGAGGGACATGGCTTGAGCCTGTGTTTACGGATGGAGTCCCCTGATCCCTGAGACTGAGGCAGGGGAAGAAGATCATGCCTGGATCAGGGGATCTCAAACCAGAACTCTTCCCACCCATACCCCCTACTTTTTAGGGCATATTTGACTGCAAACAACAGATAAATTAGTGGGAAAGGTCGGCAGATTCTCCCGATGGTGCCTAGCAGGCCAGGCCTAGCTGCCTTATAACCTGTGACTGGGGGTGATACCACTGGCCCATAAGCACACATTGGAAAATCTTTACATCCATAGACACGCCATGCTGCACAGAGACAGCTGTGCAGGGTCTTTATGTTTGGGGTGCTGTGCTGGCAGGTAGCTTATAAATATGTAGAATTGGCTGGGCGCAGTGGCTCACGCCTATAATCCCAGCACTTTGGGAAGCCGAGGCGGGTAGATCACGAGGTCAGGAGTTCGAGACCAGACTGGCCAACACGGTGAAACCTCGTCTCTATTAAAAAATACAAAAATTAGCTGGGCATGGTGGCTCATGCCTGTAATCCCAGCTACTTGGGAGGCTGAGGTAGGAGAATTGCTTGAACCGGGACCCAGGAAGCGGAGGTTGCAGTGAGCCAGGATCGTGCCACTGCACTCCAGCCTGGGCTGCAGAGCGAGACTCCATCTCAAAAATAAATACATAAATACATAAATAAAATAAATAAATAAGTAGAATTGAAATGGGATGTCCTGGAGCTTAGCTAACTTTTATTTAGCCCCCCACCCCACTACCTAAAATGAAGGGGCTGCTAGTTTTGTGTGCTTTATGAAAGATGGACCTATCATTTGTTTTTAGAAGGATTTTTTGGGAGGAAGCATCCTGAACCCTCAGAGACTTTTCTCATTTACTGGCGCACCAGCTTTAGAGTCCTAGATCTTCATCCCGGCTCAGCCACCCTTCAGCTGTGTAGCCTTTGAGAAGTTGCCTGACTACACTGAGTCTCGCTGTCAACTAAGAGCGGAGGTGATAACACTGCTACTGTATGGAGCACCTACCCCCAGGCACTCTTACAGGGTGATGGTGAAGATTGAATGAAATCATAAGGCTGAAGGAGGAGGGTTGCTTGAAGCCAGGAGCTGGAGACTAGCTGGGCAACATAGCCAGGCCTCATCTCTATGAAAATGTTTTTTAAAAAAATTAGCTGGACTTGGTGGCTTATGCCTGTTGTCCCAGCTACTCGGGAGGTGAGATGAGACCACTTGAGTTCAGGAGTTTGAGGCTGCAGTGAGCCATGATCGCACCACTGCACCAGGCAACAGAGAGAGATCCTATCTCAAATAAATGAATAAGAAATAAATACATGAAATAATGCATGCAATTAGCACACCAGTACATGATCAGGCACATGATAAGTCCCCTATAAATGATAGCCCCAATAAACTTCGTAATGTTTTGAGAGAGGGTGTCCTTTGGACTCAGCCCAGTGACAGAAGTGTTTGAAAAGACTGAATTGTATGATGGGTATTCCCTACAGGTACAAACCTGTACCTCCAGGGACCCAGGGTATTGGCTCAATGGGGCACTTTATTCTATTTACTCTTGATTCGGGCAGCACTGATTGCCCTAGGGCTAAGCAGGACTGCCACTACAGACTCAATTGCCAAGGGTGTCCTCCTCTCCAAGCTAGCCGTAGGAAAGCCACTTGCATCATAAGACTACAGGAAGTCAAAGGGAATAAAAAGCACAATTTAGTCGCCCACTCTCCAGTTGATGGGCAATAGGTTTTTTTCTGTTTTGAACAGAGCTGTTAGGACCATTCCTTGTCCACATCCCCTGTTTTATATAGGCAAGAATTTTTTCTCTTGG